GCCAAAGCATCTCTCACCTCTAGCCCTGACCACCAGCAGGACGCCAGGCCTTTAACAGACTCGCATGCTCTTGCCACTGATCTTGTGGGTCTATTTCCCACCTCACAGTCAGTGTAAGCAGTGACACTTGGCTGTGTAGCTTCACTGCCTGTCTGCAGCCACTTTCCCATCCTTGCCCAGTGAGCAGAGATAACAGCCCTGGGTCTCCCTGCAAGCCCTCCTGCAGACTCTGCAGCACGTTACAGGGCACCGAAATCACAGCTCTGCCATCCTGGGGGCGGAGGGGGAAATAAGGTACCAGGGAGTGAAAGGATTTGTCCAAGGCCAAGCCTGAGATATAATTCAGGGCTTCTGCCTCCTGATCTCTCTGCACCCTGGTGCCATCTTCCTCATGAGCACAATATTCCTATGCTTTTTGTCTTTGAAACCCCAGGCAAAGTGTCCACCACCCTCACATCCTCATACACCAAAATTAAAGGAAAAGGCAAAGGCAAGCACAATGTGAAAAGATGCAGATTCCATGATATTGTCTTCTCATCCTGCCACTAGCAACAAGTGCCTAAATGTAAAGTGTACATTAATTTGGTTTTGAACAGATGGAACAAAACTGTAGACAGAGTAGACAGGGGAGAGGGGGGCTCAGACACAAGGAAAAATTACAGGAATAGGGTCAAATACAACATCTCCCCCCTGCTTCCCAAGCTGGATCCTTTTCAAAGGACTCTGTTCTCACAAGCTAACACTGCTACCCTGCTCGCTGGGCAGCGGCGAGGCTGGGTCTGTGCAGGCTGCAGGACAGCGCACTCCCTCTCCCCCTCCCCGAGAAGAAGTTGTCAGCAGAACCTGTTGGAGCAGGGGCTCGTTGACTGCTCCCTGTCCATTACAGCCCAGATTATAAGCATATTGCACAGTGCTCTCTGCACGGTGCTGGGGAAATCCAATACGCTGAAAGGTTAATGCAATCAATTAGGGTGACAAGGAAGTAGAGTAAAGCCTTCTGAGTAGATGAAAGGGAGAGAGAGATGGAGACAGAGAAAAGCAAAGAGAAGCAGGGGGGGGGAAGGAGCAAAGAAAGACGAGTGGGAGGAGGAGGAAGATGGTATACAGGGCTTGTGTTGTAGACCGCAGGGCGCTGGTGTGGCCAAGGGCATTGTCCTGCCCCAGCATGGATGGAGTGGTGTGATCCACAGGGGCAAGGCAGGCCATGGATCCCCAAAGCAGCAGGTGGGCCAGGACTCCCCCTTCTTGGCTTCTCCTGCCCTCTCCTGCGGAGTGCGGAGCCCTGCTCAAACCACAGCTGCCCAGGATGTCCTGCCACCAGCCTGCTCCCTAATACCGTTCACTTGGGGGACTGGCAAAACTCTCCCTGTGCCTTTGCTGCCCAGAAGGGATGGAAGCAACTGCTTGGGTTTAGAGGTGCCGTGCAAGGCAAAGGATCTCAGCAAGCCATGGGGAAGCATAAGGGGAGGAGAAAGAGGGAACAGGAAGGACAGAGAGAACTTCCTCTGGCTGTTCATACACTCTGTGCACAGAGAAAGGTGAGGATGAACACGCTGCATCTCTCTGTAAACCTCCTAGCTAGACACTGGTCATCACCACCGGCCACTTGCCTGCACCTATCCCCTGGTGTCGCGAGGAATTTTTCTTTGGGTCTGCCTGTGTGGGAGCTCAGCCCTGCCAGTCCTGGGAGCACCCGTAAAAGAGGTGAGATCTATTCTCTCTTTCTCTTCCAGCCTCCTTCCACATGTGCCAACCTGGGCTGTCGCAAGACCAGAGAACAAACCCCTGCCAAACCCCAGCCGCCGCAGGTTCACCTCTGAGACAGTTTGATGAGGATGCAGTGGCACTCAGCCCGCCAGCACAGCATGGAGATCCCAGTGTCATAACGTGCATCCTGCTGCTCCGCCCTGCAGGGCACAGGCCTCTCCCCGGGGCATTCAGCTCAGGGGAGAGCCCTGTCCTTCCCCTCCAGCCCCCCTGAGCCGCTGCAGGCTGGCTGAGCTCCTGCTCTCTGACCCCCCAAGCGGCACAGTACTTCATTAACCTGGGCTGACAGGTCAGCCAGTGCAGCCCCTTCCTACCACTGCTCCTGCTCACACACAGCTCGGCCTAGGAGAACGTGACACCAGCTCATTAGGACAAATTATTACTCTATAACCCCTGCCACAATGTCCCTTAATATGCCTATTTAGCAAGAGACAAGTCCTGGTGGGCTCCTCGGCATTAAAACAACCTCACAAATCACCAGAGGCACAAGCATCATGATCTCTGCTTCCGGGGGCAGAGGACATGGCGGCTGTACCCCGGCTGGGTGCCCCCCGGGTGCAGAGTCCTGTGCTGTTCTGCTGCCGACAAAATGAAATTCTTGGTGTTGCTGGAAGGGATGTTTTGCAGGCAAGGAGTTGCCATCTGACTGTGGCTCACCATGCAGCCAAACACGTGCCCAGGTTTCAGTACAACAAGGTGATGTTCCCCAGTTGAAATCCACTGCAAAAGTATTCTGGGATGCCCATTCAAACTGCTGGGCCTGCTTCACTCTGCCTTATCCCTGCCTAACTCTGCCCTCCAGCACTGCCATCAGTGTCATGTTCCACATGAGATCTACAAGATTCAAATGTTTCCTCTGTTTCCCTGGGATATATGTGAAGTCAGTGCCTGCCTTCACAAATTCGTCCACAACACTAACCCTACTTGCCAGCTCCTTGCAGGTTAACCAGCAAAGCCAGAGAGCAAGTTTGGAAGCTGACGCTGTTGGCAGGCACTGTGTGCTGCCTCCCTGCGTAAAGCCATGCTAAATTTCAGGGGAGTAAGCCCATTGCACATGAAAGCAGATGACTTGCACCTTGCGGGAAGAACAGGACTGCAGGCTGTCTGGGGCTAATCCAGAGATTACAGAAACTCCGCAATTTTGGGCACAGTGAGTGAGATATCACAGGGGAAGACAGAAACGCAGGCAAACGTCAGAGGAAGGCTGCTACTGAACAGGAACAGGCAGCATGAGGAAATCAACCTCCAGCCTGACCTGTAGGAGAGGGAAAGGGAGAAAGAAAACAGTGATTCATATAACAGCGCCAAAGAGGGGAGAGAGAGAGGAGGGGCAGCAGCTGAGAAAGAAAAGTAATGGAAAGAAGAAAGCGAAGAAAGTGTGAAAAGTGTGTGACGCTGCGCACAGAGGAGGGCAGAATGAGAGCAAATGGACAGAGAACTGAGGGACCTGAGAGAAAGAGAGAGAGGGAGGGCGGGAGGAAAAGGAGGAGAAAAGAGCAAGAATAGCCACGCAGCGAGGAGCACGCGGGCGAGGCAGAGCGCTGTAACCAGGGTTGTGAAGCATGAAAAGGGAAGAATCTGCCTGTTCCTTTCAGCGCTCGGAGCATGGCGCTCGGTGGTGACCTACACTGTGCCCGGCTGTGATCACGTTTTCAGGGCCACTGCCTGCCGATCCCAAACAATGATGGGGAGCCTTTGAAGTCAGAGAAAGAAGCCGCAATGTGAACTGGGGACTTTCTTTTTTTTTCTTTTTTTTTTTCCCCCTTTTTTTTAAGGGCTGGGGGAAGGAGGGAGGAAAAGGAAGGGCTGAAGTGGTGGGGGGAAGGTTGGGGGAGAGGTTGCAAGGACAAAACAGAGAGTTGCTCTCAGCGGGGTGCCCCGAAATGAGAGAGACAAAAAGAAAACAAACAGTTTATGAGTAGGGCACATGCTGCCTGTGTCTGCATGCCCCGCGCTGCCGGCCCCCCGTGCTCCCAGGGAGGCTTCTGTTCCCCAGCAATGATGGATGGACGCATAGGGCCATTCAGGCCTGCCATGTTACAGCAGCGGTATTTACATAACACTGGCCTTCCACCGGTCACCTCTGACACTGCCCAGCCCGGCTTGGGGCCCCCTCCCGCCCCAGCCAGCCTGGGCCCCTCTGATACCACTCGGACTCAGCCTATGAGCTCCCTGATGCTGGGGCTCAGGGGTCCCCACTGCTGCAGGGATGCTCTGAGCACAGACGCACCGCAGCGACTGTGTCACCTCTGAGGTGACGTCCCATGGGGCAGAGTGCTCCCCACCACCACTGCCTCTTGTGCCCTGGCCTGGTCTCAGACTTGCCTTGGTGCCTGGGGAGGGAGAAGAGCAATGAGAGAGGCTAGACTTGGCGGCACTGGAGAGACGCAGGGAAGAGAGTGGGAACTCTTCGGGTGACACACAGGGGAGCTCCGTGGTCCCCCTGGGGCCACAAGGAAGAGGCAAGGACTCGGCATGGCAGGGACTTCTCAGTGACCATCACCTGAGGTGGCATAGGGACTCTCCTACCCAGCACATGGAGACAAGGCCTTTAAGAGAGGCAATCAGCTTTCATTTCCCTGGGCTCTAGGCCTCTAACTCTTATCAGGCACGGACTAAGTAGCCATCCAGCTCTAGGAGACTGCAAAGTTGAGGGTTTTTTTCAGTAACACAGACCATGAGGGTCTAGGTAAAGGGAAAACCCAGAAAAGTCAGGATTCTGCTGGAGACACAGAGATGCTTCCATCCTACCAGCACAGTGCTGCAGTCTGAATAGATAAAAATGTGCCAGAGAAGGAGAGCATGCACATCACCATCTTAAATTATGTGAACTGAGCTCAGCAAAACTTCACAGTAGATGGAGACTGCATCCTATTCAGTGAAAGGACCTTATCCATCTCCCACCAGGCCACATGAAGATAAAGCGGTACCCTCCTCACCAAAGCCCTTACACATTTTTTATCTGTAAAGATAGAGGCAGTAGAGAAGATACTGAGGAAAACCCACAGTGACAAAACCAGGTGCCCAGAACAACTGGTGTACAAAGACAAAGGCAGGATTAGGACACACATAGGCCATGTCTGCATTAGACATTCTTCTGTTTTCATCTCTCTTTATAACTAACAATGGCCCAACCCCAGAAGTTCTAGTGCAGACACAGCCACAGCGAGCAGGTCATAAAGTGTGAGAGACACGCAGAGGAAAAGAGAACCCAGGAGGGTGTAGTGACATACCCATTGCAGTCTGAAGTCTCTCCTACCTTTCGGAGATTTCAAGGCCTGGTTTCTTGCCTCGTTTTTAGCTCTAAATTCACTTCATCCTAGAGAGGGAAGAGAAAGGATCCAGTTAATACACAGGGCACACCTGACCAAGAGCCAAGGCACGGACACTCACAAAAGCTGGGTGAGAACCCAGCTGCAAGCGGGGCCAGCATGGGGCATTCAGACTTCGTATGGGAACAAAGTGCTTTCCTGCTTCTGGCTGCACCATGCAGTGCCATGCATATCACGAGACACACAGCACTCCTGCACTTCGCTGTGCATAAGACTCCTAACAAGGGCTGGGAATAATTTAGCATAGAGACAGCAGCTATTACTGGCCTGAATCCTGCTTCCCAGGTACCACAGACAGACCTTGTGCTGGTCTGCACCATACTTTGCCCACACATCCAAGGGTGCCTTCTGCTCCGTACCAAATTATTCCCTTTCCAATCTTCCCATTTCCTCTCCTGACCCCTCTTTCCCAGAGGTTCATCAGTGTGCGAGGTTCATCAGTGTGCTAATGCTGAGGCCTCCCTTGCACACCAATGGGGCACAAGATGACAGGGTGCAGGACTGAGTCCCAAGGCACTGAACCCCCTTATCCACTCATCTGTGCGTCTTCCTTCCTGGAGAATGCAGAGCCAGGAGGAAAGAGAAAAGGGACAGGGGGAAAAAAAGTCACAGCAAAACACATGAAAAGTAAATTGAATTATTTAAAACCATATGTTCCAAAAATGTGACAGAGCATAAAAGCCATGCCGTGAGACTTCCGGAGGGGGTTATCCTGCACAGGCAGGGTGGGAGGAGAGCTCGTGGGAGGGGGAGAAATGCTCCACAGCCAGCCAGCCAGGGAATTCCTTTTCCCAGAGCCAGAAGGTGGCAGGGAGCACGGGATGGCTTCATGCACAATGGCAAGGGTGCTTGGCCCATTCCTGCAGTCTCTGTTTTGCAACCCTGCCAAAACAGCTATCACAACTGCCCGAGACATGGCAGTGAAATGAAAAACTGGCCCAAGGTCACACACAGTGAGCCCCAACTGCCTGTGCCAAGCACCGGCTCACAGCACACCTCCTTCTCCAGGGTGCAACAGTGTGTGCCACAACTCAGCCCCTTGCAGGGACCCCGCTGTAGCCCCTCGGAGAGCAAAAGTGAGAGGGACTTGGCTCTGGGGAGTCTGTACTGCTGCTGCGGCTCACCCCTGTGTTTTGGGGCCCTGGTGCTCTGTGCGTGCGGACGGCCTCCTCCCATCACTCGCACTCCACCACTGCCTGCACGCTGTGCCAAAGATAGATGCCTGGTGTTGGCTGGAACCCAGAGTGGGAAGGAGCTGGTGAGATATCCCAGATGGATGGACGGACACGGAGCACAGGGAGCCCCTTGGGTGAGGAAGATGCATAACCAGCCTGGCTCCTTCCTTTCCCACTCAAATCCTGGTGCTAACAAGGCTGAGGACACGGCTGGAGTAACAGCTCCCCCACTTGAGGTCCTTCTCCCACCCTGGCACCTTCTGTCCTTCTGGCTCTCTCACCCCCTCTCTCACCTTTTTCTTCCCTTTGTTCTTCCTTGCTCTTTCCATTGCTTTCTCTGCCATTCTGTCACGCTCTTTTTTCTCTCCCTTCCTTTTGTTCTCTCCCCCTTTCCCGAGCTCTCTGCCTGTAACTCTCTCTGCCTTCCTGGCTTCACTCCCCTGCCCCTGTGCACGGTCAATTCTTGGGTTTGAGTTTTTAATTGTTTTTTTTACTCCCCTTCTTTCGGCCACAGCTTATCAATGATGCAAGAGGAATAACGCCAATTTACTTAGAATGTGTAATCCCCAAATCAGATTGGGGGATTGTATGAGGCAATATGACCTTGCATATGTCTCCATTAAAGCCAGCCAGGCCTCCTCTTGTATTCTGTGTTCCCAGTACATATTTAGACAGATAACGCTAATTGTACTTGACATGTCCTCTTAAGGATGGACTCTTCCCTCCCCCAGCTCTGCCTGCTTCCCTGCCTGACAATGCGCCAGAGCAGAGCCCACTCACTCACAGCGCGGCACGGCATGGCCACAGCACCTGCAGGGCTGGCCGGCCGGGTGGGCGTCCAGCACAGCCCGCACGCCCAGCTCCGCTGCGAGAGCGCTGGCTGTGCTCCCCGGCGCTGCACGCCTCCATGTGGGAAGCGGAGCCGGCCAGCACGGACAGGGCAAGGAGCAGGGGCAGGGGGAGCGTTGCTGGGACATAGTTAATCTGAGATTACACACTGTTACTGTGACAATCTTGCATTCTCCACAAAAATGAGCAACGTGTTGCCACCTCCAAAGCCATGGGTGCCACCTCACCCTGCCCCTCCCTCCTGCTTACCACTGCGACCCTCCCTCCTCCTCCTCCCCGCCTGTCCCTCCCTCCCCTGCCTCCTTGCCCTCCTCCTTGGGGCTTTCCCTTTTACTTGTTCCAGCCCCCTCCTCTGCTTCGGGAGACCAAAGTCTGTCTCCTTCCCCTGAGTCAGAGGGAGACGAACCTTTTGGGGACAGGCCCCAACCACAACATAACACCCCTCACCAGAAAGTACGAAGCTCCAAAGCGTTCAGACAAAGAGAGGAGACTTGCTCACCATGACCATCTTCGAAGCCTCCCTCCTTTCCAAGGAAGGGCTTCCACCCCGCACCTCTCAGCTCCCGCATCTGGGCATAAAGCTTTTTGGATAAATATTATATCTGGCTATTGGCCTGTGGATCCCAGCTCCAGCTTCTAGGGAACACCACGAAGAAATCCAGACCTCCCTCTTCCCCATGCCTGCCCGTACATTGCTGCTCTAGAGCAGACAAGCAGGACGCGGAAGGAGGAGGGGAGCTTATTCCAAGGAAACCAATGGATCCAAACTCTTTGCCAAAGTGGACTCAGATTTTTTTTTTCCCCTTGACACAACATCCTAATTCGACTTTTTCAGTATCTTTCCTTCAACAACCTTTTTTCCTTCCTCCCCTTCCTACCCAGCAACTGCGCATTTATTAATTCATGAGGCACTAATTAGTTCTTTGTTTAATTTTGTGTTAAACAGACTGACCGGAATGATAACGACTTGCAGCGTTGCATTACGGTCCCCAACCGCCCCTGTTTTCTGACAACAAGGGAGCGCAGTGAGACTGGCGTGATGAACCCCAATTCCCACTCCAGTTGCACTTCATTAAGTCAAAATGTGACAAGAAGCTTAGAGAGCAACTTTCAGATCGGATCGCACATAACAATTGGGCAGGAAACTTTCCGAGGGGGAAGCGGGAGAGGCACTCGCAGCGAAGGCTGGCACCGTGCACAATTCCCCGGCGTGCCTGCCTTAAAGGAGCCGGCTCAGGCTGCCGGCCGAGGCAGGACTGAGGGCACATGCTGGTGGTGAGGGGTGTCCGGGGAGGAAGAGGAGAGGAAGGGTGGCAAGCCAAGCCAAATGCAGGGCAGAAGGCATCACTGCTTTCCGCTCCCCTCAGTTTCATTTGCAACAATGGGTTGTGTTGGCAGCCTGTGGGATGTACAACCAAGGACCCCAGGTGGGATAATCCCTCAGCGAGTCACTCCAGGAATTCTGAGGGCATCTCTAGGCACCTTTAGCTCCATGCCTCAGTTTCCCTCCTGTAGCTCTACAGTGAAACAGCTGGTGATCCTCAGCTGCTACTCAATTGTCAAGAACTACACAATTATAACAGTCCCCTAAACTGTAAAGGGAGAGGTTGAATATTGGCACGCACATTGCTAAAATGAGAAGTGAAGGGACAGCTCTGACACCAGGAGAGGGATGGCTACTCTCACGGGGAAGGAGCTGTGCCTTCCTTTAACTTTGTACAGCGCCTGGCGCTCCAGTGGCACTATCAATTTTTGAAACTGTCCTGATCAGTCTAGTATCAGCAATAAACTTGGTAAGCCGCAAAGCAAGTGCCCTGCACCCTGAGCTCGGCCCTACAGGTGGGAATACAGCCACCACAGCGCTGCCAGTCCTTGAGCTCTTCGCTGAGTGCCACAAGTGCCTCACTAGTAGGAGCTATGGCACAGGGTTCGGGCACATGGTCACACATCTGGCCTGGCCCAAGACTCACCTGGCAAAAAAAGTCTGAGCATGACTTATTCCTTGGCACTGGCCAACATGTGACTGACAAACAGATAACACAGCCTGGGTCAAAACCAGGCTCAGCTGGATCTGTCCCAGTCTTGTTGGCACATGAGGGTGCACAGCGCATGGCCAAATCCTTGAGCCCCTTCTGGCTCACTGAAGTGCAGTGAAATGTAAACAGCCTACCAGAAAGTGAAAAGGTCTTAAAACACCTCCTGAGAGGGTGGGTGTGCGTGAAAAGGAAGAGGACTTCCCAAGTGAGCAGAACATTAAGTTTTGCAGCAGTTCAAAATGCATATTCTGCTATTACATGGACATCAGCTGTGGGAATAAGCCAAGATCACAGAGAACTGAAATGAACTGAAATGCCTTTTCTAGCAGGTATTTTTCCACATTTCTCCCTCATCCCTCTCCCTCTCTCCCCAAGAAAGGAAGACTCATTCCTAGCTTTGCTCTGCAGAGGCCCAAAGCTCAGTTAAAGTCCAAAACACTGGCAAAGCCACATGAGGGACTCTCTCGTGAGGGTCACATCAGGACTGGGGAGTGACACTTGAGCTGTATGGGCATGCACAGTAGTATGTCCTGAACAGGGCAGGGGCAAAGGAGTGAGCACTGCGGCCAAAGCCTCTGAGCCTCAGGGGACGCCTGCACAGCATCAGTCTCTACGTGTATTATCAGTATTTTCACCTGAGTGAGTTCTAAACGTACGGGTCTTTGGGGAAGGGGCCAGGCTGCAGCAAGGTATCACAGCATGGTGTTTGCCAGTACACTCACAGCTGAACAACACACGGATCTGCTAGCAGACGTGTTTGCGCTGGCTTCCATCTTTCATTAATCTGGAATACAGCAGGGACCTCTGTGACTGGCGAAAAAGCTGTTCCTGCATGACAGAAATCCCAGGAACACACCAGATCCCTCTGATTTGAGTTCTACATGTGCTCTGGATCCCATAAAAAGGCATATGTAGATATTAACACTC